ATGTTGTGGTTAACATTGTTACACTTTGTCGATACAACAGAGTCATTTGCTGTTTATCTATTTATCTATTTTCCTATGGAAGGATTATTATTATTATTGTTGTTGTTGTTGTTGTTGTTATTGCTGCTGCTGCTGCTGATGTTTCGTAGTTGTTTTTGCAAAGGTAGATTTTTTTCTAATTCTTCGACTGAACTTGAAGTATCTTGTTTTCGTTCGTTAGCCTCGTTTTCATTTCCTTTTTGAAGGCTGCTCTTGGTTCTCATTCAATAGAAATAAGTACTCGCCACCTCGTTCCTTGCGGCCACTTATACTTTTTCTTGTGATGCCCGACTGGCAGTTTGTTAACGGCAGATCGGGTTTCAAGCCACAAAGTGGAGCGTTTTCTCTTGAGAGACCACTTGTGTTTTATTGTCTGAAACCACTTAAAGGCATCATTACGCAGATAATGAAAAGAACTGTATTAACGATAAAGACATATTGCGAACTTCATGTATAATAATAATAAAAATAATAATAATAAGGAGAAGAAGAAGAAAAAGAAAAGGATAAAAAGGTAATTTAATTCAAGCTGATACAAATAATGATGATGATAGATATATATACTTTTGACGATAGGGTGACCAATGGTTTAACCATGTCAAAATCCGTACAAATATTAAATATGATGATGATGATATCGTAATTATTAGGTTGGTGCAAAAATAATGACGTAATAATGTCGTTTTTGACGTGAAAATACGTCAAACAACGACATTATTACGTCATTATTTTTGCACCAACCTAATATCAAAAATATCTATCTATATATATATATATATATATATATGTGTGTGTGTGTGTGTGTGTGTGTGTGTGTGTATACAAAAAAATACACGCATAAAAGGTAAGTTTGACCGTTTACATAACCGTTTACGTAACCTTTCCTGAGTTGAAATTGTTTCCGTTAAACATGAGACGGCCGGAATTAAAACACAGTTGCGTAACAACACAGAAAAATTATTGAAAACGAGTCGTTCGAAAGTACTAAGGAAAAAAATAATATGTATACATATGTATACATATACACACCCACGTATACACCTACACATATATAGGTACTGCCTACACACACACTCTCACACACACAGACACACAGACATATATATATATATATATATATATATATATATATATATATATATGAATATAAAAGTGAACATAGAAGAACACTTAGAGGTGACAGTCTGTTTCATGCTAGATGCAATCGTCAGGCCACTATGTTCACTTTTATATTCACACACGCTCTATCTCTGATATTGAGCACATTATCCCATAAATATAGCACATCTTAAGACTATATTTCTCCATATATATATATATATATATATGTGTGTGTGTGTGTGTGTGTGTGTGTGTGTGTGTGTGTGTGTGTATATATATATATATATATATATATATATATATATATATATATATATATATATATTGAATGGACGTGTCCCAAATACCTATGGTTCCGCCATATGTGAGCACCTCTTAAATAATAGATGGGAAGGCGACTAACTTTAGTAGTGACTGGTTCAGTGTTCTGTCTCGGTCGCACTTGTTATTTCATCACAAGGCACTGGAAGCACTTTACATCGGGTCCCGCAGACCTTCCCCATGTAAACAGTGTGAATGTTTGTTGGGGCTTGCTGTTATTTGTCTCTAGCTCCTTCTGTTCATTTTTTTCTTTTCTTTTTTTCTTGTCAACACCCCACCACACCCCTTTCCCTTCTCATTGCACATTTTCTAGTGTTTTAATTTAAGTTAAATCTCCCGTGGAGGCTTGAAGAGCGGCAGCGAAACCGCTTGCTTCGCTTTTAAAATGTCTCGTAATATTAAGCTTCAGACTTTTATTTCTGTAATTAGATTTTTTACCTTCAAAAATATTTTCATATATAGAGAGAGATATAGATATATACATATATACTTTTGACGATAGGGGGACCAATGGTGATCTTCTCGCAAAATACGACATTGGAAGAAGTGAGACTATCCTGGCGAAGTCACAATTTCGCTGGGCGGGTCATGTTGCAAGAATACGACAGAATAGCTAAGAGACGAATGACAACGGCCAAAAATGTCAGCTAATATTCCTGTTGCTATGGCCCGAGATCATCGCTGTTGCACAGCATGTTGATGTGTGTGCAGATCACTAACGGGATTGAATCGTCACATACGGCACAAACATAAAACTTAATGAGGTTTTCGGAACTTCATACGTTGATATCGACGGGAGAGTCCATCACACACACACACACACACACACACACACACACATATATATATATATATATATATATATATATATATATATATATATATATATATATACCTTATAGAAAACCTAATACTAACCCCTTATATATACACCCTAAGTCAAACCACCCTCCATCCATAATTAAACATATACCCTCATCAATAGAGAATAGAATCAGCATTAACTCAGCTAATAAAGAAATATTCCAACAACACAGTAATTTTTATAACGCAGCCCTAAAAAATAGTGGATACAAAAATTATAGAAACAATTGTACTAACCGGAAAAAAACAGGAAAAGAAAAATCATTTGGTATACCAATCCGTTCAACCAAATGGTTAGTATTAAGCTAGAACAGAAATTCCTAGCTTTAATTGGAAAACACTTTCCTATCAATAGTAGGCTTAGTAAAATATTTAATAAAAATACCCTAAAATTAAGTTACAGATGCACTGAAAATCTAGAAAGTATAATAAAAAAAACACAATAATAAAATCCTGAATAAACCCCCATGCCAGAATAGTATTACTAAAAAACCCTGCACTTAAATTAGATAAAAATAGTGAAAAATTATGTGATTTTAGAAACCCAAAAGACTGCCAATTTGAAAATAAATGCCGCGTAAAATCTGTGGTATACCAATGTACTATCTCATCTATTGAGAGTCCTAATACTAATATGATATACATTGGATCTACGAAGAATGAATTTAAAGCCAGATGGAGGCAGCATAAGTGATCCTTCAACAATATAAATAAAAGAAATCAGACATCTCTATCTAAATATTTTTGGCATTTGAAGGAAATGAATAAAACACCAAAAGTAAAATGGAAAATTATAAACAAAACTAGAACTTGTAAAACTTGGGATGACCCACGCCCTTTATGCCTACATGAAAAACTACACATTATCAAGTTTCTAAATAATAAAAATCCATTAAACAATAGACATGAGTTAACGATTTTTTGCCGACATCACCAAATTTTCGCATTGAATAATTAGCATAACAACAAACAAACAATAAAATAATTTTTAAATTGCATAGTCTAAATAAATAGTTTAAATGCCCTACAAAAAAAGATAACCCTTTATGAAGTCGTCAAAAAAACAAATGTTAGCGACTGATGACAGTTTTTTTTATATACACGAAACCATTTCAGAAAAAAGAAAATAAAAAAATAAATAAATTTCCATAGACACTTAACCAGACTAGACAATGTCATCTTCCGCTTTAAATTTAGACACCCCAACCTTACCCTGACTTGACCTCTTTGAATGTAACTGAGATATTGATACAAATTATTAACCATTACGCCCCTTTTCTTTAAATAATTGCTCTAGCCGTTACCATATAATTTTAATTTTAATAATGATTATGCTTATAAAACGCGTAAATTTCAGGAATTAGTTATTCAAAAAAAAATTCGCTTGAAGATGGAACAGAGCTTGGTATTTTAATTCAATTTAATTCAAATAATTATATTGAAGTTTTCGGCTCTTGTTTTGAAACATGAGTACTCTTATGTAGCGTTGGAATCATATTTTTAAAATAAATAATTATATATATCTATATACATCTATATATATATATATATATATATATATATATATATACAAGTGTATAATTGGTATATACGGAATGAATTCCAATAACCAACAATTACTATTCTTAAAAGAGTGCTCAATACAAAGTAGAGCAGATATAATTATTATTTATAAAAAAATTATAACATAAGTATGTTATAAAATCTTATAAATCTAAAATATTTTTTTTTATCTTCAACATCATCACTTGATAAGACACCGAGTGTGTTGAAACAAAATGGCTATTTTTTGTAGTGATTTTTATAACATACTTATGTTATAATTTTTTTTATAAATAATAATTATATATATATATATATATATATATATATATATATATATATATATATATATACACTGGCCGAATTACCCGCGCCTTGCCGCATGTTTTTTTGTTGTTTTTTTTTTATTGATTTTAAATCATTGTTATAATTTGTGGAGAAAAATGACGCATTCTACTATTACTCAGTGACCTTGCCGATGTGACCTCCATCTTCTGGCTATCTCTTTTTGGTCCTCTGTTGTTTGTTTTTTTCTTTTTCTTGTTTATTTATTTATTTTAATCGCTCCAACCCAAACAAGGCGAAAATGCTACTAGGACGCGGGGTGGGGGTTACAAGGAATGAAAGAGACTGAGAAAACTGGAAGGATTGAGGAAAGGTAAAAACGGAACATGGTTCAAGAAAACAGAAGATGGCGAGTGACGTACCATCTTAATTTTTGAAGATTGTAATTAACAGGGAAGCAAGAAATTGCACGGGAGTTCCACAGGTGGGAAGTGCTAGAAAAGATATTGTTGGAGTAGAAGTGGCGGTGGAATCTAGCTAGTTAAACAGTAAAACGGTGAGACGTTGATGCCAATCTAGTAGCATGCTTAAATTCATTTAGTCGAGGCACCAAGGAAATAAGCTCATCAGAACAGTTGCCATGAAAATATTTGTAGAAAAGGCAACTAGAAGCCACGTAACGTCGGTGAGGAAGAGACTGAAGTTGAGATGCCTGGTCAGGATATATTCAATTACAGGACCTTCTTTGGATTTTCTCAAGAATGTCGAGATGTACAAGAGGAGCACCAGACCACCTATGGCGACAGTATTCAATGCGCGGGAAAATGGTAGATTTATCTGTTAAACACTTCCCAGAAGAAGAATATAAGTTAAGAAAACAAAAGAAGAAGAAGAAGAAGAAGTAGTAGTAGTAGTAATAGTAGGAGGAAGAGGCGGAGGAGAAGAAGAAGAAGAAGAAATAGTAGGAGGAAGAGGAGGAGAAGGTGGAGGAGGAGGAGGAGGAGGAGAAGAAGAAGAAGGAGGACGAGTAATAGTAGGAGGAAAAGAAGAAGAAGAAAAAGAAGAAGGAGTAATAGCAGGAAGAAGAGAAGAAGAAGAAGAAGATGAAGAAGTAATAGTAGGAGGAAGAGGCGGAGGAGGAGGAGGAGAAGAAGAAAAAATAGTAGGAGGAAGAGGAGGAGAAGGAGAAGAAGAAGAAGAAGAAGAAGGAGGGGGAGGGGAGGAGTAATAGTAGGAGGAAAAGAAGAAGAAAAAGAAGAAAAAGAAGAAGGAGTAATAGTAGGAGGAGGAGAAGAAGAAGAAGAAGAAGAAGAAGAAATAGTAGGAGGAGGAGGAGAAGGAGGAAAAGAAGAAGAAAAAGAAGAAGGAGTAATAGTAGGAGGAAGAGAAGAAGAAGAAGAAGAAGAAGAAGAAATAGTAGGAGGAGGAGAAGGAGGAAAAGAAGAAGAAAAAGAAGAAGGAGTAATAGTAGGAGGAAGAGAAGAAGAAGAAGAAGAAGAAGAAGAAGAAGAAGAAGAAAGAAGGAGTAGGAGTAATAGTAGGAGGAAGAGGCGGAGAAGGAGGAGAAGATGAAGAAGGAAGAAGAAGACCAACAACCGCTATAACTAACAGAAAGAAGAGGAAAGTACAACAAGAACAACGCATCTCTAACGACTAAACGTGAGAACAAGAAAAAGAACAATAACTATAGGGATTCCAAAAAAGTAAACAATTAGAACAGCAACAACAAGTTCAACAAGAGACAGAAAGAAAAAAACAACGACTCCAACCGCTAACAGGAACAAACAAAAGAAAAGGAAAAACAATTCTATCAACTAAAAGATTTTGGAGAACAATAACAAGTAAAAGAATAAAGAGGAAGGCAAGACTTAGAACAACAATTCTAACAATAAAACTGAATATGAAAAAAAGGAGAAAAAAAAGCAACAATTCTCTGACGATTTAAAAAAAAAACAGTAAGCTAAACGCAAAAAGAGGACGAAATCTTAAACGAGATCAACACAAATAAAAACGTCAGAAAAAAAGAAAAATTGAAAATATAATAAAATCCTCCGCAGTACAATAACATTTTCAAAACTTTTAAAAAAAATCCACAAAAAAAAAAAACATTAAAAGAAAAGACATTTTGTCAAACAAGAAGTTAAGTAAATCCATGCAATTTCCTGGGATTCTTTAAATTCTTAATTTGCCATCTCTTGTGTAATAAAGCGAAAATACGGCGCGAATGTTTTTCTTTGTGGTTTTCGAAATTATTACTGATTCTTTGAAACTTGTTATTTTAGCTGTCAAATTGTTGATATATTAAGCCATAAAATGACAATTTAGAAATGTACCGTTTCAAACATAATGCCACAACTTCGCTACTCTTCAAAGCAAAATATTTCTAATCGTCCACGAGTTTAAAAAGAATCATTAACATGTTCAAAATTATTCAGAAGCTGAAATCTGTTCTTTAAATTTTTGCTGTTGTTATCATATCGTTTGAGTCATTCTTGATCTCTCATCACGTTATACAATAAAGAGAGTTGATGTATATAGCTCAAAGCTGAATAATGTTAGATATTGTAGTATTGTAACTTGGACTAGAATCTGGTTATGTTCAAGATGACTCATCTAGGGGAATCGCTCAATGATCTCATTATCAAAATGACCAGACGCCGAAAAACAATTGAAACAATCATTTTGATTTATTCCTATGTTTCATCAACGAAATGGGACGGCTGCTATTAGACTTTGGAAAGGGGGAAAACGAAGGCTCAACCGTAGTGCTCAACCGGGTGGCTTGGTTAGCTGGCAAAACGGTTCTTCTTTTATTGCGCTTGAACATCTCCTAATTGCCAGCTGTGTTAGAAAAAAAATTAAGACAGAGAGCTCAGCTCATGCCCGTCCCAAATTACAATATTTCGTTTGGGATGATCGAGATATTAAAAAGGTAGAATTCTATGTCCAGCTTGTTTAATGGACATCGCTGCTGTATCAACTATTTTTTTGTTTTTAAAGACCGAAATGTTTTCCATAATTTTCTGTGTGGGGTTAACCAATATATATAAATATATATATATATATATATATATATATATATATATATATATATGTGTGTGTGTGTGTGTGTGTGTGTGTGTGTGTGTGTGTTGCGTATATTTTGGTAGCATGTTTTCATTGAAACACGTTTCCCTGACTAATTTAGACAAGTTCTTTTTGAAAATGCATCTATACTTTTTCATGAAAATAATAAATGTAGACTAAAACTTCTCGAAGATATCTATATTTTAAAAAAAATGAAACTAAGCCTTAATAAAATGCATTAGGAATACTGTACAAATGTTTTAAAATGTTTACAGTAGATAGTTTAAAATAACGTGGTTTGTACCAAGAGTTTTAATAAATATTTCTTAAAAACTCGCAACAAAACCATACTTAGTTACCTCCCCTGAAGCGTTAGTCAAGCCAATCACAGCACTCAACTCTGCGTTCTTCACTTCACTTCATAAGTAAAAAAAATGTTAACTTTCAGATGAACACAGCAATTTTGTCTTTGAAAATGACGAACACTACAATATTTGTCACGAAATAACACCCTGATGATAACATTGTGCTATATCGAAAGTACTCGGAACAAAATAATATATATCAACACGGTAATTTTCTTACTTCCTTTAATAATGACACCAAAAAACTTGTCCGGTAATACGAAAGGATCCAATTGAAAATCAATAAAAAAACCTATCTATCGATTATATATATATATATATATATATATATATATATATATATATATATATATATATATATATATAAAGGCAGGATTGTGGGGTGGGTAACGAATGCACGGCCGCAATTTTCGACGGATTTACACCAAGATTTACATGCACATGCTCCAAGTTAGTGGGAAGGCCAAGACCGACGTTGCATTTCCCAACTCCCGATCATAGTGGAAATAATCGATTTTCATGCTTCTACGGCAGTTTTCATGTAGTTTGCGGCCATTTTCTACTGGCCAGAGTGAGAGCCTATAACTGGCTGCCAAGAATAGGCAGAAAGATTCTATTGGCCAGCGTGAGAGCCAACAGCTGACTGACACAAATGTTAACTAGAATGCTAGCATGCAAAATAAAAATCGATAGCTGCATTCTTCACAAGTGGGAAAAATTTAAATCTGCATGGCACTTTACTCCAATTGGCTCATTCGCTTGCTTAAACTCAACATTGATTCTGATTCCACAGAACTGGGTTGGGTGTGGAAAAGTATTTGTTGTTAACATTCTTTTTTCATTCGTTTTTTCCAGTTACGAGTCCTTTTTTAAAGCTGAATGTTTTGTGTTCATTTTGTTTAGTTCTTTAGTAACAGATTTAATGTTTAGTATAGAGCTTGGAAAAAATTCGCAGTGTGAGATAGGCAAGAAGTAAGGCATGTAGCAACATCATCACGGCAAAGGCCACTCCTTTAAAGGCAAGGATGGGCAAAAATATCTTAAGTCAAGTGATAGCGATTGCTGTATGAGTCGTACGATTTTTGAATCAAGCATGGGCAACGCCGGGCCATGCTGCTAGTATATATATATATATATATATATATATATATATATATATATATGTGTGTGTGTGTGTGTGTGTGTGTGTGTGTGTGTGTGTGTGTGTGTTTTACTAAAAGATTTCGGTCTGAAGAGATGAATATATAGAGAAATAAATTATAACCGAAATGAATCTTTAAGGTTTCTCCATCATATATATATATATATATATATGTGTGTGTGTGTGTGTGTGTGTGTACCGAGTGTAACAGCAAAATCGTCCAAATCGTGTAACGGCAAAATTCTCCAATTGTTAGATTAAGCTTTGAACCATTGTATCTTAGAAATGATTAAAGATATCTTTCTGGAATTCCCTGAAGTTTATTAAAGCACTATTGGACTCTACTTTGAAGAATAAGAATGTATATAGGTCAAAGTTGAAATGATGATCCCTCTTCCTGCTGTGACCTCATGATAATGTTTTCCAATGTACCGTTCCCTCTTTTTAAACTTATTTAACGTTCTCTTAATTATTCTTGAATGGATTTGAAAATAAATTAAGAGTATAAAGGGTGGGACCATTACTGAACGCCGCTCTGTTGGGAAGACATAGTGGGGCTAAGACAAAATGAATTTAACCTGTTCTCTTTCTAGGTAAATAACTCAAAGGATTTCTCATTGATTCTTACGACAAATGGTATCAAGACGGCTAAACATCTTATCTGAAAATTTGAAAAAAAGAAACTCACTTAGTTCAGTGGTTTTATATATATATATATATATATATATATATATATATATATATATATATAGTATATGATTGTTAAATACTGATAAGACCATTTAAATTATTGTTGAAATTGTTTGAATGATAAATAATGAGTAAAACTCTCTATACAGAAGAAATTGAAGGTAGAAAGTTATAAGTTATATATTCCCAATATATATGTATATATATATATATATATATATATATATATATATATATATATATATTTTTATCAAACCTTAACCTCCCAAATATGCACGTTAAAATAACGCGAATTAACAGCCTCTAAGAATTTGAATGAAACCTGTTGTGTAATTGATTGGGGTTGTTGTAACTTCTTCCTTTAATGTCGTTCTTATCATTCACCCCCTTAGCCATCTATATCTAAAGACGAGACACGTTAAATTTGATCAACATCTAGTCGACACACAGGGGTTAAAAATAGGAAACTGAAATGATACATATGATACACTCATATCCTCTCTCCCAACTCACTTCCTCACTTCGTTAATTTTACGTATACGTGATGAGGTCCGTCAAAAACGTGTGAATTTCTTTTCATTTTTCATTTCAGCTTTTGGAAGTAAAGTCTGATGATCCAGAACCCTGTTGCTCTGAATTTTACATTGAGCTCTCTGGATATCATCCTCGTCGGGTCTACCCATACGGATTACCTAAGTTTGCATAAACTATATATATATATCATTGTGCACGTTTATGTGATGCGCTATGTATTTATATATGTATATATGTTTGTGTATGTGTATTCATGTATGTATATGTATATGTATGTATATGTATGTGTATGTATATGCATATATATATATATGATTTTTTTTTACACGCGCAAATATTTGAATCGTCACTTATTTAGATTTTAACTTTTTATATATATGTACATATATGTATCTGTGTGTGTATTTATATGTATGTATGTGTATATGTATGTATGTGTATATATGTGTGTATATATGTGTATGTATGTGTGTATATTTGTATGTATATGTATGTATGTGTATATGTGGATATATGTGTATATGTGTGTATGTATGTAAGTGTGTACATATGTACGTATGGAGGTGTTTATGTATGTATATGTCTAAGTGTGTATGTGTACATATGTATATGCATGTATGTATGTGTGTATGTGTGTGTATGTATATATACATGTGCAAGGGTGTGTATGTATTTGCATGTGTATATATATATATATATGTATATATGTGTGTATATGTATGTATATGTGTATATGTATGTGTATGTGTGTATGTGTACGTACGTGTATGTATGGGTATATGTATATATATATGTATATATGTATATATATGTATGTGTATGTGTATATGTATGTGTATGTGTATGTATATGTATATATGTATGAATGTATGAATATATGCATGGGGGGATGTGTATGCGTGTATATGTATGTGAAAAGTGTGTGTATATGAATATAGGTGAATATGTGTATGTGTGGATATGTGAATATATTTTTATATTTTTAGGTTTTTATATATATATATATATATGTATATGTATGTGTGAGTACACGTATGTCTGTGAGTGTGTGTGAGTACATGCCTAAGTGTATGTACCTACTGGTATATGTTTTTGTGTGTATTAGTATGTGTTTTTGAACATAGAAATATTTGGTCCTTGCTAAATTCGACAATCGTTATATTCATCTTCATATATTTATATTTGATTTCTAACCTGTAGTCGATATTAATTTGTCAAATTTTCTCAATTACAAAGCGGCCCAATTTTATTTTCCTTCGTCCCATCTCTCTCCCCCACCTTTTCTCTTTCTTTTTTTTTCCCCTACCTCCTAACTTCTAATTGTCTATGGTGTGTATATGTCACCACGAAATGTATCTTTATACATTAGACATCCGTCGACTTTCTTTCTCTCCTCTTTTTAAATCCCCCCCTCACATCTCCTAAAATTCTTTCTGTTAAGGTTTCATCTCCTCCTCCTCATATACTTACACTTTCTCTAAATTCTGTTTTGATTTCCGGAGTTGTTTTTTCTGTTTTCATTTTGAATTTGTAGGTCTGATGATTTGGATCGTATTTAGGATTCCAATGGAATAAATTATGACCATGGAATATTAGTGTTTAAGCCTTTTTATTATATCCTTACTCTGTCCTAGACATTGAGTTCTACCTGGATTCTTCCTCTTGGAAAATTTTTTTTCTGAAAATATACATGTATGGGTATTTCTTTTATATATATTTGCATATGTATGTATATTTTCCACCATATATATATATATATATATATATATATATATATATATATATATATATATATATATAATTAATAAAAAAAAAAATACAATGGTTGCAAAAAGCTATAATTAGTTATATACTCCTAATATATATATATATATATATATATATATATATATATATATATATATATATATATTGGGAGTATATAACAGTAATCATAGCTTTCTGCAAGCACTGCATTCTTTTTTTTTTACAAGGAGAGTTATGGCAGGACAAATCGTAATTGCTTCATCACCACAATGCACCTGCTGTCAATGCCCTGAGCATCTGACAGATCCTGGTCAAGAAGAACATCGCCGTACTGGAACGACCAGATCTTGCCTCATGTGATTTTTTTTTCTTTTCCTCAATCTTGAAGGGCTCATCAAGGTGACCCATTCTGAAGACGTGAAGGCCATCAAGAGAGTCGTAACGACGGAGCTGAGAGATATCCAAGAAAAATCTTTCCAGCTGTGCTCAGAAGCGTGGCAGAGAAGGATGAAAAAGTGCATTAAACTTGAGGCGTGATTATTTTGAAGTGTAAACCATATAGTTTTTTGTTTGGAATTGGAATAAATATTTTCTGCCAACAGTCCCCTTACTTTTCAGACAGACCTCTTATGTACATGCTGTTTGCTTTTATGGTGACTGAACGAGTTGCTATCACATTTTTTTTTCAAATGAATTTATTAGTTTAACTATCGTAACGCGATCGCTAAAAAAACTTAGATCTTGGACCAAATCGCTAGTGAAAAGGGTTTAGTGAATATGGCGTCGATCTAAGGATTTGATAAATGTTGAACAGTCCCTTTGATAGGTGGAAACATGAGAAGAATATTGATAAAACTGTATGTTCCGTTCCGAATATTTTCTGGTATGGTTGGTCGTTTTCAATGAAGAAGATAGCAGGTCGATAATTCGCCATTAAAACATTTATGCCGGTAATCGTACAACTGTCTATAGCCCAAGTTTTTATCTTTGTCTCAAAACAAACCAAGGATCTTTGAAAGTACTTACCTGAACAAAAAACACACACATATGCACACACATACACAAACACTCTCTCTCTCTCTCACCCTCTCACTTATACACACACACACAGATAGATAGATAGAGAGAGAGAGAGAGAGAGAGAGAGAGAAGTATTTCGGCAGTAGTTTTTTCTATAGATAAGTTTGGTTAAAAAGAAATATTGACTATTGGCCGTGTCATTTCGACATTTTCATAATCCATTATCAAAGAGCTTTTTGTTTTTTGTGCTATGTCAATTTCATCGTTTTCAATCTTTAATCATCGCCTCTTCACACGGATGTCAGTTTTTGTAAGTATCGCGTCTTCTCGTGATATTTCATTTGTCTTTAACCAAACTCATATACACACACACACATACACACATATATATATATATATATATATATATATATATATATATATATATAGAGAGAGAGAGAGAGAGAGAGATAAAGAAATTAAAAAAGTACAATAAAAAAAAAAGAAGGCTGACCGAGTCGGGTCTTTTATATATATATATATATATATATATATATATATATATATATATATATATATCAAAATCCGTAACGGGAAAGGATAATCCAAGCTTCTGTAATCCCGGTTTGATGAGACAAATATTAAAAACTTACCTGTCGAATTAAATATATTACCGGATCTTTAGAGATGTGTTATTCTGAAATTTTGACAACTGGTAGTCGTTATCATCCATAATAACATACTAAAATTTGAATCATTTGCAAAGGATAGAAAAAGAATTATAACAATTATTTATTTATTTTCAAATTTGGAACGTCCAAAAGTAAGGGACAAAATTGAGAAAAAACAATGTAAACGGCAAAAAAAACAATAAAATACATGTACAATCAATATTTAGTAAATGAGCCCTTGCTCTCAATGACAGCTGCACATCTTCGACTACAAGAACGAATCAGTTCTTGACAATCCTCGATACTAATGTTAGACCCTTCTTCTTGAAGCTTCACCCACAAATCCTCCGTGTTAGTGGGATTTCTTTTCATAACTTTCACTCCTAAGGTCTTCCAAAGATGTTCTATTGGATTTAAGTCAGGACTTTGCGGTGGCCAATCCATAATTTCTAAATCTTGCTCGCTAAGGTAACTCATTACCACCTTTGCCTTGTGACATGTGGCATTATCTTGCATAAAGGTAGCCCTATCGAAACCTGAATTCTGTATGATTGGCACAACATGATCTTGAACAATGTTTTTATAGATCTGCGCGTTTACACGAGTTTGTAACCGGACAAGAGGCGTTGTACCTTGGCTAGAAAACATTCCAAATACCATGACGCTTCCGCCCCCAAACTTGACAGTTTTCTTAGTACACTTTGCACTTAATCTTTCACCAATACGTCTCTTTGCATTGTTTTTTTCTATCATTTCCAAATAAATTAAACTTGCTTTCATCACTGAAAAATACTTTTGCCCAATTTTCATATATCCAAATTACATACCTGTTTGCAAACTCTAATCTTATTCTTCGAACTAACAAGTGGTTTCTTCCCTGGTGTTCGATTAAACAGCCCTATTTCTTGCAGTCGTCTACAAACAGTCTGTCTTGACACATTAACACATGAGGTACTATTCATAACCCTTTTAATTTCTGTGCAAGACTTAAAACAGTCCTTTAATGACATACGCTGCATTATTCGATCTTCTCTTGCCGAAGTTTTGCAGGGTTCTGCCGGTTTTAAAAGCACTAACTATTTTGCCAGTATCATTGTAGGATTTAACAACCCTGCCTACAACACTCTTGGAACGTTTCACTTTCTCTGAAATCTCTCTAATGGTGTGCTTTTCCTTGTGTAGCTTCACAATAGCTTGTCTCACAGAGTAATCAAGTTTTGGCGTTTCGCCATGGTGCCGGCTGATGCAACGTTTACAAATGACTAAGTAAGACTTATTCTTTAGAGGAAATCAAAAATTTGAATATAGCATACTGTTTACATTGTTTTTCTCAATTTTGTCCCTTACTTTTGGACGATCCTATTTTGAAAATAAATAAATAATTGTTATAATTCTTGTTCTCTCCTTTGCAAATGATTCAAATTTTAGTATATTATTATGGATGATAACGACTACCAGTTGTCAAAATTTCAGCTTTTCATTTCTAACAAATATTAGGTTTTAAAATTTTGTCCCTTATTTTTGGACGCTACTGTATATATATATATATATATATATATATATATATAAAGGGTGACCGTTTTTAAATGTGAATTAAGTTGTTAAAACTGAAAGAAAAAGAAAAATATCATTAAACGCTGAAACGTAATTCACATTTAAAATTGGTTCAAGCTATTGAAACACCCTCTCTTTCCCTCTCACTGTATATATATATATATATATATATATATATATATATATAAAGAAATATAGTCTTAAGGTGTGCTATATTTATGGGATAAAGTGCTCAATATCAGAGATAGAGCGTGTGTAAATATAAAAGTGAACATAGAAGTCAACACTTAGAGGCGACAGTCTGTTTCATGCTATATGCAATCGTCAGGCCACGTGTGCTGTTATTTTTCTCGGCTATTTATATATATACGGGTTAGTGGTGCATTGTGGGTATTCTATTATGGCAGTTATTTTTACCGGAAGTCGCTTTGTTCATTTATTTGGGTCAAATTATATTGCTCGTTTTTATTTATTTTTATTTTATTTTATTTATTTATTTTTTTTTTTTTTTTGTTTCTTATTTTATTTATTTATTTATTAACGTAGTAAAAATTTGTTTATATCACGTATTTAACAGTTTTGTTTTGGTTTGAGAATTTAATTAAAGCTATTTGTTCAATTTTGGGGTTGGTTGTTGTAGTTCATTCTAACTATTATTTTTTTGGCAGGAACAGTTTTTTTAATTTGGGATTGGTTTGCCTATTTATTTACTTGGATGAATTTAGGTCAATTTATTTTTATATTTTCTTTTTGGTTTTTCGGTTTTTAAAGCAACATAGTACTTATTTATTTATTTTATTTATTTATTTATTTTTTTTTTTTTTTTATTATTATTGTATTTGTTTTTATTTTATTTTTTCCGTTTTTCATTTTTTAGGTTACGTAGTAAAAATTTATTTTCATGCCTGCATTTTGAGATGAGCTCGGATCTTTTATTTAATAATTTATTTTGGTCGGGGAAAGTAATGATAGCTATTTTTCCTCAAAGCAAAGTTTGCAAGTTTTGATTGGTTGTTGTAGGCTGATGACTTTTTCCTTATCTTCCAAGATATTTTTGGTGTGATATGCGTTTTGTTTTTTATTTCCCAGATATACTTAGAAAGCATAGTACTGTTCGCATATTTACTATTTGTGAACGATGTTTTGTGTGTATAATTTCTTTGCTTCCAGGGTCCTTCAGTTACTCCTATGTATACTTTTTTCTTCGTTATCTGGTGATTTTATCGTGGCTTGGTATATTACGTTGTTTTGTAGACAATTTCCGTTTAAGGGACATTCGTTCTTTATTCTGCAGTTGCACGTGGGTTTAATTTGTTCGTGTGGTTTGTTGATAATTTTCCTATTGTGCTTTTTTTATTATTTGTGCCATGCTCTCAGTGCAGCTGTAGCTGATTTTTACTGTATTTTTTTGTTGAATATCTTGTGTAAGGTGCTTGATTCTGGGAAGTGTTTGTGTAAGAGTTTGAAGAATATTTTTCCTACGTTTGTTTTTACGTTCTTGCTGTACGGTGGGTTGAACCATATGATATTTCTTCTCCTGTTGGTCTTTTTTTGTATTCTGTGGTGAGTATGTGAGTATTGCTGGGAATCCGCTATCTTTTAGGGCCGTTTCATAGTCTTTTTTTTTAGCTTTGTTAAATAGGGATTCATTGGAGGAATTGTCGGAGAGCCTGCGGTTAATCGATTTTGGTATCTGTTTGATTATAGAAGGCGGATGGTTGGAAATGTGTGTATGTAGAGTGGTTTATCGTTAGGTTTTCTGTATGGTTTATATGTGCCTTCTCTTAGGTTGAAGGTCACATCTAGGAAATCTACTTCGTTTAGGTTAGTTTTTATATCTATGTCGAATCCGTTATTTTAAAAAATCTTTATTATTGCTTTTCTAGTTTTGTCTGTGTTTTGTTTGTTACAGTTTCTTAAGATTATGAGGCCGTCGTCCCTGTAGAGTCCTGTGTCATTTTTATCTATTATTTTGCTCAGTTCGTGTAGTAAGTAAATGCCTATGATTTCGCATGCCTCTGCACCGTCAAAGCTTCCCATTGTAGTGTCAAATATCCCATCTTTCTTTATCCATGCTTCTTCATTGTGGAATAATAATGATTTACGGGAGTGCTTAATGATGTTGATTTCGCTTGGTTTTATTATTATTTGTTCCAAATAAATGAACAAAGCGACTTCCGGTAAAAATAACCGCCATAATAGAATACCCACAATGCACCACTAACCCGTATATATATAAATAGCCCAGAAAAATAACAGCACACGTGGCCTGACGATTGCATATAGCATGAAACAGACTGTCGCCTCTAAGTGTTGACTTCTATGTTCACTTTTATATATATATATATATATATACGCGTCCCTACGTTTTTCGCGTGCGACTATAGTTTCGCTGGGTGTTGTTCCCAGTTCGTCAGGCACGGAGTCTAAGACGAAACTATAGTCGCACGCCAAAAACCGTAGGTATGCGTATATGTAAGCATTAATACATATCTTTGCTCTGTATTACCGCATCGATTACTATTACGTTTCCACCTCATGCATTTAACGATTATTTAATTGCTTGCCTGTGTACGCACACCATCACATGCCTGATGATATTTGGCCGTTTCATTTATCTATTATCTACAATTATACATACTAGCATATATATATATATATATATATATATATATATATATATATATATATATGTTAGTATGATCCGAAACTAAAAAGAAATTTATATCTAAATTAATCGTCACGAACACTTGCATTATGATAAGGCGTATTGTCCAGCTGATGAAGTCCAACAATTAATGTGTTAATATAGTAGTGAATGCTGAACAATCCCAGCACAAATGAAGAAGACTCTTGAAGCAACAGAAATATTGTTCTACAGAAGGATTCTGAGAATGCCACGGAGCGAACATATGAGCAAGTTGTAGAGGAAATTGACAGAAAAAGGA